ACACCCACCAGTGTACACCTCGAACCGGGTAACCCTATCCCTCACATCAGCGATCCACCGCCCCCCCGCCTCCCCTCAAACAACGCATTGTCCGCAAATGCACTCTCCTGGCGGTAGCTGTGTGCAGGAGTTGGGGGGGGGGGGGGGCGGGAAATGGGCGGGGAAGAGATAGGGTGTTTTTGAGAATTCTCAAAAACACCCTGCAAAATGGGCGGGGAAAGATAGGGTGTTTTGAGAATTCTCAAAAACACCCTGCAAAATGGGCGGGGAAGAGATAGGGGCAGGGGTATTTTGAGTCGACTCAAAATACACATGGGCGGGAAGAGATAGGGGCAGGGATGGGAGTGCGGGTGTAAGAGGAGAGCATTGGCTATGCATTACCCCCCCACCTCCCCTGAAACAACACATCGTCCACAAACACACTACCTCGGCGGTAGCTTTGTGCAGTAGTGTGTGGGGGGTTGGGGGCGGAAGGGTAGAGATGAGGGAGGAGGGAGTGGAATGAGTGTGCCCATGGCCAAAAACGGTCAACCAAGTGGTCAACAACGGTCAACCACAGGGTCAACATGGGTCAACCAAATGGTCAACCACATGGTCAACAACGGACAACAACATGGTCAACAGCGGTCACCACATGGTCAACAACGGTCAACCACATGGTCAACAGCGGTAAACCACATGGTCAACAACGGTCAACCACATGGTCAACTTGCTCGAACCGGTGGTCGACCACCTGGTGCTGAAGGAGGAGTCAGAGGAGACGAAGTCAACGGAAGTCAACATATTAAAATCAACAGCTTACTCGAACCGGTGGTCGACCACATGGTCCATGAAGGAGAGGCGAGGTGAGGCGGAGGAGAGAAGCCAGAGGAGCTCTGGAAGGGGGGGAGGGAAGGGGGGGATGTATGGGACGTAGTTGGGCCATAAGGGAAGGGTAAGCACAAAACCACATGGTCAATGCAGGAGAGGCGAGGCGAGACGGAGGAGAGAAGCCACATGAGACAGAGGAGAGAAGCCACGGAGGCGAGCTCTGATAGGGGGAGGGGGAGGGGAGGGCGCGGAGAGGGAGGAGGGAGGACGAATGCGAAACGGTGTGGATTCTGATAGGGGAGAGAGGGGGAGAGAGGAGGTTGTGGGGGGGGGGGGGGGGGGGGGGGGGGGGGGGGGGTGGTGTGGGGTGTGGAGAAATGGGGGAGAAGTGGGTTGGGGATAAATGGTAGTTAGCTGGTTATCCATTACCATGATGACCCCCACTCATCAGCCAGCGGACGGACCATCAGCGAGCGGGACTTTCGAGTGGTGGTGGTGATGATGGTAATGGGGTAACCACTCAAAAGTACTTTCGAGTAGACTCAAAAACCGCCATTCATCACCGCACTCACTGTCCTGTGTCACTAAAAGGTAATCCTCTGCACCCATCAGCACCCTTCATTGCCCCTTATGGTTACCCCTCCTCACCGCACAGCACCACTCACCATCCTGTGCCACCAGGGGGTAATCCTCCGCACCCAGCAGCACCAGCCACTGCCGTCCACTCTCCCCCACGCGCTGCTTCCCCTCCTCCTCGCCCTACACATACCATAACCGCACAGCACCACTCACCATCCTGTGTCACCAGGGGGTAATCCTCCGCACCCAGCCAGCACCAGCCACTGCCATCCACTCGCTTGGCCCCTCGTCCCCCCCCCAATACTCTTCTGTGCCCCCTTCTTTGGCTCCATTGCCCCCGCCCTCTCCCCCCCATCCCCCTCCTCCTCTCTCCCCCCTCCCCCCATCCCCCTCCTCCTCTCTCCCCCCCTCCCCCCCATCCCCCTCCCCTCTCTCCCCCTCTCCCCCCCATCCCCTCCGCCTCCCCCTCCCCCATGCGGAGCAGGGTGTGCGCCAATCGCAGCAAGACCGCCAGATGCGAGCCCCCCTCTACAGTCACCATCTCCGGGTCCATAATCACATGAATCCGACCAGCACCCCCCGTTACAGTCACATATTCCCCACTCCCTGCCGCCTCTGCCGCCCCGACTGCTACTGTTGCCGCCAGGACGGGGTGGGCGGCGAGCTTTGTCCGTAGCGCCAAAGCTGACTCAGCATCGTCTATATGGACGGCATAGTAGTTCCGGGGGTGGTAAGTAGCCAATAGGAGCCGGTAAATACGGTCAGTGTCGTTATTGGAACCTGTGTCGGGGGGGAAAGGGAAGGGTGGGGAGCGGGGGGGGGGGAGAAGAGGGGGATACATAGGAACCTAATAAGCGTAAGTCCAATAGAGGGGGATATATAAGAGGGGGATGTATAGGAACCTAATAAGCGCAAGGAAGCGACTTTTGGAACGAAAGGGGATGGTACGGAGCCAATAGGAGGCGGTCAAAACAGTCAGAGTCAGTCAAAACAGTCAGAGTCAGTCAAAACAGTCAGAGTCAGTCAATACAGTCAGTCAGTCCAAAACAGTCAGAGTCAGTCAATACAGTCAGAGTCATTGTTGGAGCCTACTTTGGGTGAGGAAGCGGAGGCGAGGAGAGATTGACGGAGGCGATAGAGGGTACTATCTGGACGGCGGAGCAGACGGAAGGTGCATTTTGAGCCGACCCGAAATACACGGCGATAGAGGGTGCTATATGGACAGCGGAGCAGAGGGGAGGAAGGGAGAGTGGCTTGTTCACAAGATCACTTGCGCGCACATACGAATCAAAAGTGGCATACAATTAACGCGCGTACCTGTGATGCCGTATGCGAGGGACGGCACGAAATCCTCGCTATTAGCCTTCCCCATCAGCAAGTCAGCTCCGTCAGCGCCTTGCTGACGTGGCACACTCGCAGGTCCCCGAAGCTTCCCAGAAGTCACGAGGGCACGCAGCATGGGGAGATCCCAAGGGTCCCCCTCCCATACACTTGTGGATGTGCTTAAGAATAACATGTTACACAAAAGGAGTGTGCCTATAACGAGGTAGACGACGAGTTCTCGCGCACTGTGCTCGCCTAGGTTCGCGATCTTCGTTGCGAACGGGTTACCAGTGCTGGAACCATGAGCTGTTTGTTCGCGTGCGAGCTTCGCCATGTCGCACAGGCGAAGACTGTCCTTGATGGTCTAGGACGAATATATAGATGCGAGATCAACTAACTCGTTTTAGAGTGGCGCGATATATGTACACGGCTGCCCTTTCGAGGGTCTATGGCCATTCATGACTGTAACACACGCGCACTTCGTACGATTTCGTCAACAGCCGTAAATATTTCGTCTACACCCGTAACTATCTCGTCAATTGCCTCGCGCCGCGACTTTCAGTCTCGTAGTCCGAAGAGGTACTCTCAGGGTGTAGTAGACAGGCTGTCGTCACTAGGCAACAAAAGTCATTGAGCAAGGGCTGTGCCTGCAATTAGAGCCCGTAAAATTTCGAACTACTTGCGAGGAAATAACTACTGGCGCTGTGTGGAAAATAATCTTCACGCGATTCGCAATCTTGGCCCAAGCCAACTGGAGATAGGAGGAAGCTGGAAAGTTTATTGCGGCGCCTCTCTCTAGTCGGTGTGACAAAAACGGTTTGAGGTGGCGCCTTCTGGCCTGTGTGATTAAAAAGGAAGACCTTCGCTTCGGCCGAACGAGGCTGAACAGGTTTTGCCTGGCCCGGTACGGCTGGTTGCGGTTGGCTTGACGAATTCCCCAACCATACCGAACGTCCCCAATGGCTCGGCTCGTTCGGTGATTCGTGGAGAAGGTTTGGGTCTTCTTTGGGGGCGCGCGCGGCGCGTAAGCCCTACAGACGAGATTGAAACGAGGGAGAATTGTTTCAAACCGGTTTGGAACAGTTTCACAATTCCTTTGCTTATCGAGATTGAGAGCGTGCATCAGAAATAAAACTAATAGGAAAATACGTTCTTACCGAGTACAATGAAACTAGTGCATACGTCATCAGGCAGGCACTTGATCCGAAATGGGCTCCCACTCAACCGTTTTAGGATCTTAATGTACCCACCGATAACGTAAGGACGCTTACTGAACCGCATGGTACCTGAACTCCTCTCACATGCCCAAATTGTCTCAGCAAGTAAGCATGCGTCATCAGAATGACATATTCGTAAGGAGCTTGGCACTTACGACCAATTAGGCCATCTCACAGGTCCGACACCCGCTGCCAATAACGCCGCTCGCCACGCCGTCCATGGCGCCACGGCGCACACGCGCGCCTCGGGACGCTTCTCCGGAACGAGGGCATTTCGGCTCACCGGCTCGTTGGGAATTCCTGGGTTGGTTGTCGGCGAGGGGAATGGACCGAGAGAGGAAGAAGACCGACGGTTCACATATTCATATCCCGGCGATTCCGGGTTTGATCATTATTTCACGGATATTTTCTCCTCGTTCCAGTCTCCAGACGCCTTACGTAAACTATAGATCATACCCAGGAGATCGTACCCGCCCGCAGGCGGCTACTAATAAAGCCTTCCAGGTGTTCACATATCCCGTCTCGTACCGGGGCGGTATAGTACGGCAAAATCACGCGTCGACAGCTGTGGGCCCTTCCAGGGAGGGGCAATAGTACTACTACCATAGTAGTGCCTGTTTGTACTAGCACTAGTAGCGCTTCGCCGCGTCACGCCACGAATCCTCCTAATCGCCACGCCACGCCACGCCACGCCACGCCACGCCACGCTACGCCACGCCACGCGAAGCACGCCACGCCACGCCACGCCACGCTTCGCGCGCCATCATGATCGTGCCGCGGCCTCGGCGCGTGGGTCTCCCTCCAGGGAAGCCCGCCGGCGGGACCTCCGTGCTGCTCTTCCTGCTCCTGCTCACGCTCGTCTCGCCGCCCTTCGTTGCGCGCGTCGACGCCAAGAAGATCCTGCCCTCTCGTGAGTTGCTACTCTGACTCTAAAGGGTTAGGTCGCGTGGGTCTCCCCCCAGGGAAGCCTTTCGGCGGGACCTCCGTGCTGCTCTTCCTCCTCATTGTCACCCTCCCATCCCCGCCCTTGCCTCGCCTCTCGTCGCTGCCAAGAAGATCCTTCCGTCTCGTGAGTGAGGCTGTCCTTTTAGGGCTGTTAGGCTCCTGGGTCTGGATTTTGCAGGGTGTTTTTGAGAATTCTCAAAGGCTCCTGGGTCTTCTCCCACAGAGAGAGAGGGAGATGGCGTCTAGATGGCCTCACCACCTCACACCACTGCCCCACCCTCCTGTTCGTTCCTTGACCTCCGTTTCTCCCCCCTCCCCTTTTCCCCCCACCAGTCTCCCACGGTGACCCACCCGAGCCCAAGCTGCTATGCGCTCTTAACGTGGAGGTGTGTGGGTCCAACAGGCAGATGCACCCGTGCAGGGAGATGGCTCCCCCTCTCACCACCTGTCTCTCTCTCACCCTCCTTGCACGTCGCCCCCTCCCCACTTTTACCAACCCCTGTTGTTCCCACCAGCCCCACCCGAGCCGAAGCTCCTCTGTGGTTTGAGCGTGGTGGTGTGTGTGTGGCTCCAATGCGCAGATGCTGCTGACTCGACTCCATGACCCATCCGTCCTCTCCCCACCTCCCACCCCTTATCATCTTGTACCAACCCTCCCCACCAGCCCCACCCGAGCCCAAGCGCATGTGTGGTTTTAAACGTGGTGGTGTCGGCAGTAACGGGCAGATGTACCCGTGCCCGGAGATGGCTCCCTGGGGGAGGGGCGGATGTATGTACCTCCACCACTCACAATACCGTTTCACCCTCCCCTTTTCTATTCCTCCCTTTCCCCTTCCCTCCCCACCAGCCCCACCCGAGCCCAAGCTGCTGTGTGGTTTAAACGTGGTGGTGTGTGGCAGCAACGGGCTGATGTACCCGTGCAGGGAGATGGCTCCTGCAGGGATGGCCACCACCACCAACCTCGCTGGCTGCCGCCCGCCAGGGAGTGAGTTTGTCCTCGAATCCTAGTCCCTTTCCAGACGTACCCATGCAGGGACATGGCTCCTGCAGGGGGGGGCTTTCGGCGAGAACCCACTTGCTGAATCCCTAGACCTTAAATCCCTTTTCAAAAGCTGATGCGTAGACGTGCATCCACTTAGATGTTCCTCCTCTCAGATGTCCCCCCTTGGTTCCCCCCTTGGTTCTCCCCCTTGGTTCCCCCCTTGGTTCCCCCCTTGGTTCCCCCCTTGGTTCCCCCCTTGGTTCCCCCCTTGGTTCCCCCTTGGTTCCCCCTTGGTTCCCTCCTTGGTTCCCCCTTGGTTCCCCCCTTGGTTCCCCCCTTGGTTCCCCCCTGGTTCCCCCCTTGGTTCCCCCCTTGGTTCCCCCCTTGGTTCCCCCCTTGGTTCCCCCCTTGGTTCCCCCCTTGGTTCCCCCCTTGGTTCCCCCCTTGGTTCCCCCCTTGGTTCCCCCCTTGGTTCCCCCCTTGGTTCCCCCCTTGGTTCCCCCCTTGGTTTTCCCCTCTCCCTCCTTAGCACCTCCTTACTCTGTAAAGGGCCCCATGCCTTTCCCCTCCTTGCATCCCCTCTCTATTCCCCCCTTGGTTCTCCCCCTTGGTTCCGCCCTTGGTTCCCCCCTCTCCCCCTTCGTTTCCCCCGCTTTGTTCCCCCCATTGCTCCCCCGTCGTTCCCCCTTTCCTTCTCCGTTGCTTCCCCTTATACTCAGACCCTTTGCTTGTAACGCCCACTGAAGTTCAATGGCATACCGCCTGGTGATGCCCAGTCAACGTCAAGAGCCCCGATCTGTGTGCCCCCACACTCTCCCCTTGTTCCCCCCTCTTGTCTGCCCCGTTGCTCCCCGCTGCTCCCCGCTGCTCCCCGTTGCTCCCTGTTGCTCCCCCTCACACTCTCCCCTTGTGTCCCTCTTGACTTCCCTCCTTTTGTCAGACCCTCCACTCGTAACGCCTACTGAAGTTCAATGCCCCGTTAAAAGCTCCAAGGTGCGTGCTTGTAACGAATCTCTGGCCTGGGCTTATAAATGGTCCATCCCTGGGATTATGATGGGTCCCTGGGGTTACAATTGAAGCCTGTGCTTATAGCGGATCCCTGGGATTCTAGCGGCACTCTGTGATCAAGCAGAGCAGCTACTGCTGTTTCTGCTGGTACAGGGTCATTAGGCGGTTAGGTTGGGGTAGGTTGGGGTTAGGTTTGGGGTAGGTTGGGGTTAGGTTTGGGGTAGGTTGGGGTAGGTTGGGGTAGGTTGGGGGTGGGTTGCCAACTAAACGTCGTTCTGTTTCAGGTGTGTGCTAGTAACGGGAGGATCTACCCCTGTGCTGACGTGGCACCCAAGGGCCTGCTGACCACGACTGACCTCACTGCTTGCCAGACACGTAAGCATCTCCCTTGCTGGCTGCTTGCTTGCCACGTGGATGATCAAGTGCCTCGTCGTCACTCACTCACTTGATTCTCAGGCACTTCGAAAAATCATTGTTCTCCCCCTTTACCCCCATCCCGTCTTCTGTTCCCCACGCTCCACCAATCCCCAGCTGCCACGTGTCCCTGGTCCACGTCAGCATACAGCAAAGCCAGCCTGGCACTATTGGCCAATGAATGCAGCACCCTCGCTCGCTCTCCTACCTCCTCCTCCTCCTTGATTGGCTGCTGCGCTGCCACGTCAGCGCTCCTCCAATCCACCGCAATCGCCACCGCTAAGGCCAAATTACCCAGGGTAAATACCCCTGCGGTGTTTGATGCCCGCGCCGGGCAGTGCCTGAAGCAGTTTGTACCCTTTATTCAAGGAGGAAAGGCAGCAGCAGCAGCGACAACTGCACCAGTGGCAGCAGCAGCGGTGTTGTTCAAATATAATCCGGTGATGAAGTGCGCGCCTTTGGGGTTTGGGGCGGCACAGTTTGGACTGGAGGGGGGCAAGGGTGCGTGCCGTGGGATCACTACTGACGCCCAGGTGAGTTTCAGTTACCAGGTATTAAGTGAGGTGACGCCCAGTGGCAGTGCCTTCTCCAAGCAACTGGTGAGAGGGAGGTGAGAGGGAGGTGCAAGTTAGGTGCAGGCTTCAACAGAGTCGTTTTGGTTGTACTAATCAGAACAAAGAAACTCTGCCGAGTTTCATTCTCCCCCTCCTCTCAATCAACCCCTTCTCCCCCCTTCGCCCCCATCTGCGTTAAAAGCCTCTCCAGTATGGTGGGTGTGCAGCTACATGTGGACATAATCTCCCTGCTCCCCGTCTCTCCCCCTCTCCCCCATCCCCCCCCCCCGCTTCCCCACCAGCTCACATCTGCGTTATAAACCTCTCCAGTATGGTGGGTAAGCAGCTACATGCAAACCTACTCTCCCTCGTTCCCCTGCTCTCCCTGCTCCCCGTCTCTCCCCCCTTCCCCTCCCCCCCCCCCCCCCCCTTCTTCCCCACCAGCTCACATCCGCGTTAAAAGCCTCTCCAGTATGGTGGGTGAGCAGCTACATGCGAACCTACTGTAGCAGCACAATGGGCAACACGGGGCGGTGCTTGGACTGTGCTAAGCAGGTTTCGACACTCTTTGGTGAGTGCTGAGCAAGTCCACAACTCCATAGGCCACATGCTCAT